TATTATTTAAATCTAGAAGAAATTTTTACTAAATGTTGAAAATGGGGAATAACGACTATTTTCTATATATATATATATATAAACTGATAAAACTTTGATTATACATAAAAACTTGGAACTCCCTCGTAGCCAATACTAATGAGTGACAAAGTAATTGCTGCCGGTTGGATTTTGCCCTGCCGTATGTACCTCTATACATGTCAAATCTTCTTAAATAGCTTTGACACTATCGCTTTGAAATCTTATAACTACTTCAATATACCTCATAGAAAAGATAAAGCAAAATATTTTATCTTATATTCAAGATACCCCAATTTATCGTGAATCACGATATCGTACGTTGTAGTTTGAAATTATTAGCGTTGAAAAGTAAAAAATTGATTCTGAAATATATTCTGAAAAAAAAATTCCACTTGCCTGTTTTGCTGAAAATTTAAATGTTTTTTAATTCAAAAATCTTTAAATAATTAAAAAAAGGTCTTGTATCTTATCAGTTGGCATAAAGCGGTAGATATTACTTATCGCATACACGCTTTGTTTGCATTCTTAACCAACTATTAACACTCACGTTGAAATTCGTCAGTTACGGCTTACTATCAGCTGCTCAATTGAGGTCGCTATCTATCTTAAGTAATTGAATAATCAGTGAGCTATTAATTAGTCGAATTAGTTAAAAATAATTACACAATTAATTTTAATTACTGGTTTAATTTCATTTGATGTATACACGAGCTCTTAGGATAATAGTTACTTCTTTCGAATGAAGCGATTGAACTAATGGAGTAAGTTATTTGTGATTTAACTTTTAGTGTCGATTGAGTTTTTATTAATTAAGGCTTCAAAAATTAATCATTATTATTGGATGTGTGTATTCTGTATGTGTGTGTATTCTGTATATGGTGTATATTCTGTGTATGCATGTGGGTATATCATGTGTATGTATGCATATGGCTATATCTTGTGTACGTGTTTGTGTGTATCTGTTTTAAAAGCGTTATATAATTTGTTTATAATAATTATTGAGATTTAAAAAAAATAATTTTCAATTAACGTTATAATAATTTTTTTCAAAAAAAAAAATTGTTTTCTGTGTATTTGTTTTATTTTATTTTATATCAGTATAATTTCCACAAAATTATTCTCCATAAAACTGCTGCTGATAAAAAAAAAAAAAAAAAAAAAAAAAAAACTTAACATTCAAATATGCTTTAGAAGAAAATAATTTATAATCACCTACCAAAATATTAAATTTTTTTATATCTGTTTTTTAAGTTACCGGTAAAGTGAATTGTAAAATTTACTGTATTGCAGCCACATTAAGGCGTTTGATGTACAATCGAACCTTTTGATATTCAAATCAAGAAAAAATTTATGATTTAATGTGTTTTATTTCATGTAAAATTTCCACATGAAAATCATTGTCCATAAAACTGCTGCTGATTTAAAAAAAAAAAAAAAGAGAGAGTAATATTTAGCATTCAAATATGCTTTAATTTAAAAGTGAAAATCTTACAATTATATCATTATTCTTAACGACAATTAATATTGATTAAAAAAATAAATTGATAAAAGTTCTATTAATCACCTACCAAAATATTTAATTTTTTATATCTATCTGTTTTTTAAGTTACCGGTAAAGTTAATAGTAAAATTTGATGTATTGCAGCCGCCACATTAAGGCGTCTGATGTACAATCGAACCTTTTGATATTCAAATCAGGGAACGGAAGCATCAGTGAATATTCATTGAAAAAGTTCTCGTAAAACCGCATTTCTTGCTTCGCCTACGTTTTTTCAACCGTAGTTTATTTGTATGTGTGTGTATACACTATTTTTTTTTTTTGTCAACTTTTTCACGTCACGAAAAAAGCCCACGTTTTTCCACCCAGTTCGACGGCCCAGGTCTTATTTTATCGCTTGCAACCGTGGGCAGCCCTTGCAACCCTTATATGGGCCTAGGACCTGTAGGAGAGTAGGTCGGAGGCAAGGTCACGTTTTCTCCTGCCTTCTGGGCCTAAAGGTGTGGGCCCTTTCGAAACCGTCTGGTCGCGCTTGCGCCGGAAGCGGCCCTTATGTGTCGGGGTTTTTTTTATTTATTTTTGCGGAACCGATGGGTCCTCGTGGAAGAGTCGAAGAATCCTCAGGGAGAGGGAAGGTGAAGTTATGAGATTATGAGGGCTGTGTTGTTTATTGATGCCTCAAATGTTAAGGCGTTAAAATATTGCGATGCATTAAAAAAAAAACACGCATATATAATTAATTCACTATGAATTAATTAAACCAATAAATGTTGTTAAAAACTCTTTTTGTTATGTAGACTCCACCCAAAAGAATTTTAATTAACAGTATAGTTTGATGTAAATCTTTGAAAAAAAAAATCAATATATCATTTATAGTGTATTTTTCGTCAAAGGGTGGCTTCCGTTTTATGATTTTATTCAAATGTGTCCATTTAAATAATTTAAATTGTCGTTTTAAATTGATTTATTTTGAAATTATTATAGAAATCGGCTTGGGTTCGCAGTTCTTAAAGGCAGGGGTAGAGAATCGGGGCCTGACGGCCGAGTGGCTAGCGCTCTGCCGCCGAAACCCGGCGGTGCCATGGATGTTTGTAGTGGTTCGCAATCCGCTTTAAGCCGGACTCATATTCACTAGTCTCAGACTCAAATAGCCGTAGGTACCGCTTTAAGGAGCCCGATCAGACTTCTTCTCATCCACATCATTCCCAAACTGTAAAGGGGAAACTCAGCTCTAGACACAGTGATGTGGTGTAGTTGTAGTAAGGCACTTGCCCCATTTTAGGTATTTTTTAACGCCATCAGCAGACATTTTTATATTTTTGTGGTGCTTCATCCATGTACTTGTGAGAGTAGTAGCTGTTTTTCTGTTGACATTGAGTTCTGTAATTCGGTATTTAGTTTTAATCTTAGAAGGAATTATAAAGTTTAGATTTTTCCGAGTCATTTGTATCTGCAAGGGAAGTAGGAATGGCAGTCTGATCCAGACGTCTGGCATTCTTCGCCAAAGAATCTGCAATTTCATTCAATTCCAAATCCACATGAGCAGGGATCCATGTACTCATTAGTTTACGAAAACATTTTAATCAGTACTAAATCAGCAGATTGTTATAGAACAGCTAAAGACAAGTAAAACAAAATTATGCATTTTAATTACAAGGATGCTATGTTTGTAATGCATTAAATCTTATTCGTTCTGAATAAGAAAGAAAAGTTTTTACGTCTTCTTTCATTGTTGATGTTTTCGCTTGTATAATTTTATTTATTGCAGATACATCAAAGTTTTGATATGTGATCGAACCATTTAATATTCGTATCAAATTATGGCCAAATCAGAAAATTTTTCGTGTTGCTGTTGTGTCTAATTCTCAGTGTCCTGCAGTGCGGGATGGACATCCCATGAGTAATCTGTCTAATCATGAATGGAATTAAAGGGGCAGCTTCTGTTGTGGTGGGGCACCCCCTGCGTAGGCACCCTTACTTTGCTTCGAATCGCTGAAGAAGTAGGGCAGGGACTTTTAGGGGGAAGTACTCCACATTTGCGTATAGTATGGGAGTAAACCAACTGCCACCAGGTAGTCCGACTTACGAGGCAAGGCGCTGAACATCACAAAAGCAATCAAATCTCCTCGGGTTTTTTTTTTTTTTTTTTTTTTTTTTTTTTTTAAACAGTGTTTGCAACAAAGCCGCCAGCAGATAGAACTTCTGCCGTAATGCTCACCAGCGGCGCACGTTGACACTGAGCCACGAGTCGGGATATAATGTATATATGATCCATTTTTCCTTCTATTGTGGTCCCCTGGTTTCAGGGTCGAATCCTGGCGGTGGCATGGATGTTTGTGAGTGGTTCGGAATCCACGTTAAGCAGTAGGTCCCGGTCTGTTTAGCCCTCGTGTGCACAAGATGACCGTAGAGCGACAAACCAAACCAAACCAATTTGGTGTGGCCGGTGGGCCAATTACAGTAAGTAAGTGCTCATGTGAACTTGAGAAGTCTCTTAGATTCCTAATGTGGGCATCGTATGGGAGAAAACCTGGAAAACTCCTACCAGGTAGTCCGACTGACGAGCCAAGATGCTAAATATCACAAGCACTGTGCTGACCAGCGGCGGTCGTTGCCACTGAGCCATGAGTCGGACAATTTTTATTTTTATTTTTAAATGTGGGCGAAATATAAAATACTTTACGTTTCACTTGCGATAACAATTAATTATTCATTAATTAAAAATTATTTCAATTGAGCAAAAACAACAATTTTTTTTAATAACATTTTATGATGATTTTATATTTGCTATATTATAATTTACGAAAGATTTTTTTTTAACCTCGTATTCACAGTATACTTTTAGTCTTTCCTTTTCTTTCCCCTATTATCGTGTAAATCTGCTGTTTATTCTTGTAGATATCAGTATCCTTTATTACGCAAATGTCTATAAACAACTTCAATTATCGGAGGCTGTAACCTACATTCTCTCTGTGCTGATTTTGTTCCGCAACGCCAAATAATAATTGATCTAGATTTTTTTTTTTAATTTCGTAATTAAAATTTAAAAATAAATTTGAAGCCAATGTTCTCAGAATCGATGAGTTGTAGCTAGAAATTTTATTAAATACACAGATTTATTGGAATGGTTTTATGATTAAGAAGTAAAAATCATTTTAAAATTGCAATACCTCTTTATTTAATTAAATACTTCAAACCTTCAATGTGATCGAACTTCTCATGCTTCTTAGATCTTTATTTAAATTACAGATTTATAGTTCCATTGTTATGTGTCGTATTAAAGCGAGTAATATGAGACTGTCTTTTCTAATGACGCCAAATTGGTTAAGATGCTGTACATTAATTATTTTTTTTTCTTTTTATATAAACTTAAAGCGTTAAGATTAATAAGGATTGCAACTAATTATTTTCATTAAAAATAATTAAGTTTAAAATATTATAAAAATAATGAATGTAATTAAATCATAAAGTTTCAAAGGCCAACGGCCGTACCATGCTGAATATACCGGTTCTCGTTAGATCACCCGAAGTTAAGCATCATTGGGCGCGGTCAGTACTTGGGTGGGTGACCACCTGGGAACACCGCGTGCCGTTGGCAAATTTGGGACCTGAATGGCCGAGTGTCTAGCGCTCGGTGCCACAGGTTTCGGGTTCGAATCCCGGCGGTGCCATGGATGTTTGTAGTGGTTCGGAATCCACTTTAAGCCGTAGGTCCCGGCCTCCTATGACCGTAAGAGCGTCACGGAGCAAAAGTCAGGCTTCTACCTACGGGTGCTCCATCACAACAGAAGCTGCTTCCTTCCCCTTCAATCATGACTCCGTATCGGCTCGTGGGCTTGGCCAGCCAAGTGGGATAAGAAACAACAACATAAAGTTTCAAGGTATTGATATATTGTAACGTCTCGGCCTACACGAGACCTATAATGGCTTCAAGAAGAGGGGCCCTTTCAGGTACATGGGAACACATTAAATTTTATTTATAAACATTATTTCTATATGCATAACTCTATTTTGATGTTCAGGCTCTTGTCTCGTGAGTTGGACTATCTGATGGGAATTTTTCCGAGTTTTCTCTCATACATCACGCAAATGCGGGGTAGTTCTCTCTAAAAGTCCTCTAGGAAGCCATTTCCCCTTTCCTTTAGCGAGGCAAATCAGACCTACTTACTGGTGCTTCCTCACAACAAGCCCTTCCCCCCTCTTTCCCTCCAGCATGAAGCATCCTGGTGACCAATTGGTTAATGCTCTGGCCTTTGCACAGGCTTCAGGTTCGAATCCTGGCGATGACATGGATGTTTGTGAGTGGTTCGGAATCCACGCTAGACTGTAGGTCACGGTCTAATTAGCCTAAAAAGTGTGCACAAAATGACCGTAGAGCGACAACCTCCTTCCATGAGGGATACGACGACAACAACATATATCTACATCTTTACTTGTATATATATATAAACAAACGGTAAACTTTAAAAAACGGTAAAGAGTCGGTATAAAGAAATCCGTCTTCGTAATAGGAAAATTTTTTGGGCTAATTCCACATTTCTATTTGCAATGCTTATATTTAAATTTTGAATTTTTTTTAAAAAAATTAATAAATTGTTATAATAATTTTTTTTAAATAAATTACTTTTTATAGATTGGATTTAATATAATTTTTTAACTACATAATCTAATCTATATTTATCTAATTTGTAAAAATAATTTCATAATAGCTTGAATTTTTAAGTGATCTCTAGTAAATTAACTTTATTTTAATGGAAACTACTATTAAAAAAATGCTGGATAACTTTACATAAAAAACAGTTGTCAATGTAATTTTGACGGTGAAGTTGATCATTTCGATTTAAAAATGGTGGTGTGTGTTTGTCAATTGTGCTTTCCCCCCTCCTATCCCAGAGCATCAAAAGCTACCGAAAAATTGCCTGAGTTTCAAAGTTTTGAAAAAGTTTCAATTTGGCTCTGGCATCTCTGTATTTGGGAATTTCTCGTTCTTCATAAACTATTACAACTCTATGTTGACTTCTCTATTTCATCAGCTTATATATATATATATGAATCGCGAGGGAAAATTTATGGAATCGAGAAATTGAGATTAATTTCTAGTAAATCATTCCCCGTCCGCTAATGAGAAAATGGGAAGGTCGGAAGTGGCCCGCAATAAAATCCGACCGAAGAGCAAAAACTGAAATGCGAGCGTCCGAATTCCTCATCCCATCCATTAAATTTTAATCAGTTGGAGTTGGCAACCACGCTGACTTGTTGTCCCCCAAAGAAGGAAATCCATTTACTACGCCTCCGCCCACCACCCCGCGTGACGTCACGATTCCGTGGAAACCGAATTGTCAAAAATCAAGCCTGTGTGCGTGCGTGCAGCGCACTGGAAGATGACATCATACGGGAAAACGATACCCGAGTGCTCGCCACGCCGTGCCGCCAGAGAGCGCTCACTGTGTTCGAAAAAGAATAACCAGGTGTTCCATTTGTGACGTCACTGCCAAAAGACTCTGTTGTCACTTTTCAATGAGTTTCGTTTTTTTTACCGTTTTCGACTGAAGGGTATGTTATCTTTTCATTATTTGTGAGAGAGATGTAAGAAGTAAAATATTTGATGTTTTATAGTAACTACTTTGTTCCCTTATTTGGATATATTAACAAGTAATATAAAAAAAAAATTTTTTTTTAGTCAATTCCTACGTTTTTTCCACTATGTTGCAGAAAGTCCTTTATAAATCATTTTCATTCATTTTTTTAAAGTTTATTTGGCACTATCTATTAGTAGATACGTGCAACTTAAATCTAAAAAAAGACTAAAATTAATTCATTAAATTTAATTACTGTATTAATATTCGAACAAATTGTATTAACATCATGTGTCATCCAATACAAGTTAAAAAAAAATGTATTTGAACTTGAGTGGATGAATAAAAAGTGTTCTATTAACGATTGAAAATTTGAACAAGATTTATATAGTGAGAGTGTGAGCTAATAGAAGGAATTGAAAAAAAATAAAAAAATATTATTCATATAAATTTAAAGAGTTGAGAACTTTCTCTGTTTGAAAGTACTTGAAATTGAGATCTTATTTAGAATTTTAAGATAGTTATAATTTAACAATAGCTTGCAAGATTTACGATTTTAAGATAGTTATAATTTAACAATAGTTACAATTTAAAAGTTTATATGTATTTGTTAATTAAATATCATTAATTACATCAATTAACTTATTTAATCTTTTTATCTCCGTGTCTTTAATTTTTTTAAAGTAGATTTCTTGAAAAGGGTGTGATTTTATTTGTTCTGTAGAATATGTTTTAGATTAATAAATGTGAGTAAAATTATTTCGGGGGGTAAATAAAAATATTAATTTCGCTTATAAAAGGGTATATATGAAATATGTGTGGGCGTGGTTCAAGACCAATCAAATTGTTGTCCTTGGGTAATAACAGCCTTCATCTGTTTATATTTTATTTAAAGCGGTAAAATCAACATTTTAAAATATTTACCCAATTAAAAATATGTTAAATTTTAATCTTAAATTATGGTATTTGTTCATTTTTATCAATTTGAAATTCACCTTTGCTTTCTTTCGGGGTTTTTTTTTTTTTTTTTTTTTTTTTTTTTTTTTTAAATCCTTTTTATTTCAATTTTTATTATTAATGAGTATTTTCTTTTTTGCACTTTATTTTATTTTTTTGACATTTCAGAATTGTATAAATAAGTAAGGCTATGTATTTATATGATGTGATTGTAAAACCTTTTTCATTAGCTATTCCATGCTACGAGACATTTTATTCAAACGAATGACATAGCTTCGTATAATCAACAATATTGTTGCTGATTTAATATTATAGTCAAGGATTTTTATTTTTATTTTATTTTCCATGCTACGAGGCATTTTATTCAAACGAGTAACACAGCTTCGTATAAACAACAATATTGTTGCTGATTTAACATTATAGTCAAGGGTTAACATAATTTTTTTCATTTATGTATCGGTTTGTAGGGCTTTTTTCAATTCCTTCTATTAGCTCACACTCTCCCTATATAGATCTTGTTCAAATTTTCAATCGTTCATAAAATACTTTTTATTCATCCACTCAAGTTCAAATACATTTTTTTTTTTTTTTTTTTTTTTTTTTTTTTTTTTTACTTGCAGGGGATGACACTTGATGTTAATGCAGTTTTTTCAAATATTAATTCATTAATTAAATTTAATTACTGAATTTTAGTTGGTTTTTTTTTTAGATTTAAGTTGCATTTGTCTACCAATAGATGGGGTCAGATAAACTTATGAAAATTATTTATAAAGGACTTTCTGCAATATAGTGGAAAAAAAGTAGGAATTGACTTTAAAAAAAATGTTTTTATATTACTTGTTTGTAATTATTTTACCGTTGAAAAACCCCTTCCCACGAAATTGAGGGGAAATCGGGGTGGAAACGAAATGTATCTCTGCATATAAATACAGTCAGCAATATTTTAACAAATTAAAATTTATAAACTCTGCCCTTCTTTCTTAATTTTTCTGACACCTCTTTGCACGTGTGAAATTAAATATCTCTTCTGTTGGCTTTTAATTTCTGTGTGAAGTGAATTAATTACATTAAGATAATTACGCTGCAAAATAATGGAACAGGTATGATACCCCTATTAACATAATGGGATTAGTAATGGACTTGTATGCATTATACATAACATATGAATCTTTGTTTTTGGAATATAAAAATTAAATAAAAGAAAAATTATTTTGATATTTTAAACACTAATTCCAGACTTCCTCGTGTTTTTCAATTCCTTCTATTAGCTCACACTCTCCATATATATATGTTGTTCAAATTTTCAAACGTTTATAAAATACTTTTTATTCATTCACTCAAGTTCAAATACATTTTTTTTTTTTTTGAACTTGTAGTGTATGACACTTAATGTTAATACAGTTTTTTCAAATAGTAATTCCTTCATTAAATTTAAGTAATTAATTTTAGTCTTTTTTTAGATTTAAGTTGCATATATCAACCAATAGATGGCGCCTTAATAAACTTAAAAAATAAATGAACATTATTTATAAAGGACTTTCTGCAATAGAGTGAAAAAAAGTAAGAATTGACTTTAATTTTTTTTTTTTTTTTTTTTTTTTTTTTTTTTTTTTATGTTACTTGTTTCTCTTATAATTCGATTTGTCATGTCCTCTAAATAGAACACTATTTTTTTTTTTCTCTCTTCTTCCTTCCGTTGTTTTTAATGAAAATGTCAATTTTACGAGAATAACATTGGTTTATTCTAAAACATTGTTTGACAAAATCTTTAAAATATAAGAATTTTTATGAGATTTTCTTCTAACTTGCTGTACAACATTGTTTTCCTCAGCAAAAGATTCGCGTTCTGATGGCCAATTGGCCAGCGCTCTAGTCTTTGGTACCACAGGCTTCAGGTTCGAATCCTAGCAGTGGCATGGGTGTTTGTGAGTGGTTCAGAATTCACTTTAAACTGTAGTTCCTGGTCTTAATTAGCACAAAATGACCGTAGAGCGAAAAACCAAACCTTTGCGGCCTGATGGACAATTGGCTAGTGCTCTTGCATTTGGTATCACAGGCTTT